CCCCAAAACCCCAAAACCCCAAAACCCCGTTTAGTTGAATTCATGCAACATTCAGTTTATGGATTAATAGTTAATCAATAAATATCTTTCTAATTCAGTTGGTTCAAGCAATAGCTGATCCAGTAATCTAAAGTAAGATCAATTAGCATTATCATCATCTGATGTTCTGAGTAATTGAAAGATTCTTAGGTCTAGAAGTCATTTGAGATTTAATTGGAGTCTTCTTTTTAAGCTAAATTGGCTATCTGGGTTGTTTATCAGCTTTCTAATGAGTTCTAGCAGACTTATGCGGGAGATATGGTGAATTGTTCTCTTACTCATGTGCTGGCTTTCTCTTTAGCACTTATCTGGTATTCTAAGATCTTTCACTATCTTTGTCTCTGCTCTTACTCGTCTCTCTTAGTGATACATTCTTAATCAGCAGAGCACTTTCGTCCTTACCTCTTGAAATCCTTTTGCTGCTAGCCTTGGCTATCATTATATTTTCTATTTCTTTTTAAATCTCTCTTAATCTTCTCTGTTCCTCTATTTTCTTTAGCCTATCCTGATATTTCTTATCATTTTTATCAATACTTTCTTGAAGTTTAGCCTTTTACTCAGCTAATCTTTTTTAAACAATGCTTTGATTCAATCTATTTTTAGGAGAGTTTTTCTATGATCTACCTGTAGAAGACCAGTTCTATCCTGACCTTGTGGCACTCTTTTCTGTTTAAGCTCTATTATTGTTTGATCTTTATCTGCTTTTATATTTATTGGCATCTATTCCACAGAGATTAAGCTTAGGTTACTCATTAGTAAATGAGCCCTTTCTTTCAACAATGCATTTTAGTTAACTCTGTTGAGTGAGTTATTTCATTAAACTCTATTTAGTTAAGTTAGAGTTGTCTCTGCTTTGTTAAGTTGAGAGACTATTTCTGTGACTAACATAGGTATCAGTAGATTCATTAGTCCTCTATAAAATTACAGGTTGGTTTCTACTAAGCTAAATCAGAGTAGAGGCTTAATTCAATGAGAGCTAGTTAATTCTTTTGCTAAGCCCAATTTCATTTTAATTGAGAGAGGTTAAGTGTGGAAGATTTAAGAGAGGTGATCTCACTTGATTCGTCCTGTCCACCATAACCTATATCTATTGATAGGTTTGCTTTAGAATCATTGAATCCTTAAGCGATGGTTTGAAAGGAACTGGACTACAGTCCTCATCAATATAGGATTCATCAATTGATACTTCCTCATGTTTAATTTTATCAAGAGGCTTTGAATCCATTTTTCTATATTAGGAGAACTCTGATGAATGATTCCTAACTCTTTCTATACTGGCACTGTTAACTGAGCGATTTCTTTCATTTATAGTTCTGACGTTAGCCGTATCAAACAATGTTTATTCTAAAGATATAGTCTCTTAAAGAAATTGATTGTAAAGTTCTTTAGCTTTCATGTAAGTTATTGAGTCCATAACTTGTGGAATTATGTCTGTGTTCATGGTTCTAAGATCACATTCAGTGTTGTTTGAAGAAGCAAAAGTATCAGAAGGCACAAGATCATCATCGCCATCTCTTTAATTTGGTGCAAAATTCTCATATTTAAGAGTTTTTAATGGTTGTTGTAATCCCATGCCTTATCCAGAATTCTGAATCTGAATATTTATTATATTCTCATTTTCAGTCATAGCAGAAGGTTGCTTCCTACTTTCCTCGCACATTTCAATTAGTCTATTCTGGAGTTTTTTCTCTCCATTTCCGGTTGCGCGTTAATTTTTTATGCCAGAGTTTGTTTAAGTTTTCCTACCCCTATTGATGCTAGTGTTGTTGCTATTTTGGTTCTTATTGATTCCACTTATATCAATAAAAGTCATATTTTGCGGAGTTCTTGGCTTAAACACCTCATTCTAAGGAGTTTGACAAACAAAAGAAGAAATATTTAGTCTTTGGTTAAGTCTAAGCGGCTGGTTTTGCAATGAGACCGATGAGCTATCTAAAAACTAAGCAGGCGAGTAACGTTATTGAAAATTATACATTTATAATTTAACTGAATTATTGCATTCGTTCTAATGCTATAAATTTGATAGTTTTCTAATATTGCGGGGTTTTGGGGTTTTGGGGTAAAACTTCTCTTAGGTT